ATCATTAAAATGTCCATACTACCCAAAATAATCTATAGATTCAATGCAATCCCCATCAAAATACCAATGACATATTTCAGAGAATTAGAACAAACACTCCAAAAGTTTATATGGAACCAAAAAAGACCCGAAATAGCCACAGCAATCTTGAAAAAGGAAGAATAAAGTAGGATAGATCACATTACCAGATATCAGCTTATACTACAAAGCCACTGTAATCTAAACAGCTTGGTACTGGCACAAGAACAGACAGATAGAACAATGGAACAGAACAGAGAACCCAAAAACTGACCCAAGACAATATGCTCAATTAATATTGGAAAAAGGTGGCAAAAGCATACAGTGGAGTCAAGACAGTCTCTTCAATAAATGGCGTTGGGAGAATTGTACAGCTACTTACAAAAAAATGAAGCTAGACCACCAACTTACACCATACACAAGAATACACTTAAAGTGGATAATAGACTTAAATATAACTTGTGAATCCATAAAAATTCTAGAATAAAATGTAGGCAACAAAATTTCACAAATTCTATGGAGCAGAATTTTCACTGATACAACACCTAAGGCAAGAGAAACAAAGGAAAAATGAACACATGGGACTACATCAAACTAAAAAGCTTCTGCACAGCAAAAGAAACAACCATCAAAATGGAAAGGGAACCCACTGTATGGGAGAGCATCATTGCCAATGAAACATCAGATAAGGGGTTAATTTCCAAAATATATAGAGTACTCGTACAACTCAACAACAGGAAGACAAAGAACCTAATTAAAAAATGGGCAGAGGAACTAAATAGACTCCTCTCCAAATAGGACATACAAATGGCCAAGAGACATATGAAAAATTGCTCAATGTCACTAATCATCAGAGAGATGCAAATTAAAACAACTATGAGGTATCATTTCACACCTATCATATTGGCCACCATCAACAAATCATCAAACAACAAGTGTTGGTAAGGGTGTGGAGAAAAGGAGACTCTAGTACACTGCTGGTGGGAATGTAGAATGGTGCAGCCATTATGGAAAACACTATGGTGTTACCTCAAAAAGTTAAAAATTGAACTGCCATTTGACCCAGTGATCCCACTTGTAAGAATATACCCTATGAAGCCTGAAACACCAATCAGAAAGAATATATGTACTCCTATGTTCATAGCAGCACTATTTATAATAGCTAAGATCTGGAAACAACCCAAGGGTCCATCATGGAATACTGTGCAGCTGTAAGAAAGAAAGATCTCTTATCATTTGAGATGACATGGAGGGATCTGGAGAGTATTATGCTAAGCGAAACAAGCCAAGCAGAGAAAGACAAATATTACATAATCTCACTTATTTGTGAAATATAATGAACTAAACAAATTGATGAATAAAATTGACCCAGAGACACAGACGTAGGGTACAAACTGACAAATCCCAGAAAAGAGGATGTTGGGGGGGGGGAGAATCAACCACAGAACTTATATGCCTGTATGCATAACCAATGGACATAGACAACAAAGCTGGGGATGGGGTGGGGGGGATGGGGAAGAGGTTGTCAATGGGGGAAAAAGGAGAAACATCTGTAACAAAAACAAATTAAGAAAAATAATTTTAAAAAAAGAACTTATATGTATATATGCATAACTAATGGACATAGACAACAATGCCATGAGGGGTGTGGGATCGGGAGGAGGATTATCAGTTGCAGGGGTGGGGGGAAGTAACATCTGTAACAAAAATAAATTAATAATAAAAAAAAAAAACAAAGTTGAAGGTATTATGCTACCTGATATCAAACTATATTCCACGGCTATAATAATCAAAAGAGCATGGTAACTAGCATAAAAATGGGTCTATATAACAATGGAACAGAATTGAGAACCCAGAAAGAAACCCATATCTATATGGTCAATTAATATTTGACAAAGGTGGCAAGAACATATAATGTGGTAAGAGCAATCTACTCAATAAAAAGTTTTGCTAAAATTGGACAGATAAATGCAAAAAATAAAAATAGACTACATATAAGAATGAACTCAAAATGGATTCAAGTCTTAATAGTAAGACCTGAAACCATAACCTCCTAGAAAAAAACATAGGCAGTAAAATCACTGACATTTCTCTCAGCAATATATTTTTTTTTATCCTCACCTGAGGACATTTTTGCATTTATCTTCAGATAGAGCGAGAGGGAGAGAGGGAGAAAGAGAGAGAGAGAAACATCGTGATAGAACCACATTGATTGGTTGCCACCCACACAACTCCAACTGGGGCCAGGGACAAACTGCAACCGAGGTACATGCCCTTAGCAGGAACCAAACCCAGATCTCCGTGGTTCTCAGGCCAATGCTCTAACCGCTGAGCCAAACTGACTAGGGCACAGCAATATATTTTTTTTCTGATATATTTTCCTGGGATAGGGAAACAAGAGAAAATTAAGCAAATGGGACTCCATCAAAGGAAACAAAACAAAAAGACAACTTACTGAATGAGCAAAGATATTTGCAATGATATATCTGATAAGGGGTTAATATCCGAAATTTATAAAGAACTCAGATAACTAACCCCCCCATAAACAAACAAACACATAAACAATCAATAAAAAATGAGCAGAGGAACTGAATAGATATTTTACCAAAGAGGAATTATAGATGGCCAGTAAACATATAAAAAAAAATGCTCTTCGATACTAATCATCAGAGAAATGCAAACTAAAATCAAAATGAGATTTTTCCTCACACTTTCAGAATGGGTACTATCAATAAATCAACAAGTACTGGCAGGGATGTGGAGATAAAGGAAACCTTGTTCACTGTTGATGGGAATGAGATTGGTGCAGTCACTGTGGACCACATTATGCTAGTTCCTCAAAAAATAAAATAATGCGACTACTACTTCTGTGATTCTACTTCTGTGTATACATCCAAAGAAACCCAAAACATTAATTTAAAAAGATACATGCACTTCTATGTTCCTTTTAGCATTATTTACAATAGCCAAGATATGGAAGCAACCAACCCAAGTGCCCATGGTTGTGGGGATGTGAAGTACACCACAGGAGATGTAGTCAATATTGTGATGAATATTGTGTGGTGGCAGATGAGAGCTGGAAATATTGGAGGAACACTTTTAAAACTATGATTATATAACCATTGTTCTTTCTTTTCTATTTTTTTCTTTATTAATTTGAGAGAGCAAGAGAGGAAGGGAAAGAGAGAGAGTGCATGTGCAAGAGAGAAACATCAATTTGTTGTACCATTTATTTATACATTCATTGGTTTCTTTTTGTATGTGCCCTCACTGGGGATCAAACCTGCAACCTTGGTGCATCGGGACAACACTCCAACCAACTGAGCTTCCCTGCCAGGGCCTGCCACTATTCTTTCTGTACACCTGAACTAATACAAAATAATACTGAATGTAAACTGTGATTTAAAAAAATGTTTTTAATTAAAAAAAACAACTTTTAAGTAGACAAATAGATAAAAAAAAGTTGTGGTACATATACAGGGTGGGTCAAAAGTAGATTTATAGTTGTGAATATGTGAAACACAGAGTTTATCCTTGTATTATTATTTATTAATTTATTGTATTTTCCATACAAACATCTATAAGCCTACTTTTGCCCCACCCTATACACAATGGAATATTACTTGGCCATAAAAAGAATGAAATCTTACCAATTGTGACAGCATGGATTGACCTAGAGGTTATTAGGCTAAGTGAAATAAGTCAAAAAGACAAAGACAAATACCATATGATTTAACTTATGTAAAGAGCAAGATAAATTAACAAACAATATAGGGACAGACACATAGGTACAGAGAACAAACTGATGGTTGCCAGAAGGGAGGGAGTTGGGTACTGAGTGAAAAAGGCAAAGAGAATTAAGAAGCACAAATTTGTATTTACAAAATAATCATGGGGATGTAAATTATGCGTAGGGAATATAGGTAATAATATTCTAATAACTAAGTATGGGGCTAGGTGGGTACTTAAATGTTGTGGGAATCACTTTGTAAATTACATGATCATCTAACCATTATGCTCTACACCTAAAACTAATATAAAATAATATTGAATATCAACTGTGTATGAATAATAAAATAAAATAAATAATTTACAGACTTATGGATACAGAGAACAGCCAGCCAGCTGTCAGAGGGTAGGGGGTTGGGGGATGGGTGTGAAGGGTAAAGAGATTAAGCAAAGAAGAAAAAAAAGACTCAGGAACACAGACAATAGTATAGTGATTGCCAGAGGCGGGGTGGGAGCGGGGAAGTAGAAGAAGGTAAAGGGGGGATAAATGATGGTAGAAAGAGACTTCACTTGGGGTGGTGAACACACAATACAGTGTACAAATGATGTACTGTAGAACTATATACCTGAAACCTGTATAATTGTATTAACCAATGTCACCTCAGTAAGTTCAATAAAAAAAAAGTAAGATGCTTATGGTGATGGCTTTAAAAAGTTACTTAGGTTATTAATTTTCAGTGTTTCTTCTGTTCTTGTATAAGTATTAAAGGCTTAAAATATCCATACCAAATGTAGCTGTAATCCACATTCTCTTATTTCATTTTGTTATTGTTCAACTCCAAATGTATTTGAGTTTTATTATAATAAAACTCATCCTAACTCCAGCCACTGTTGTTCCATCTCGAGGAACATTGGCACAGAAGAGGAACAAGCCAAGAGATGGGAGAAAGGAACAGTTTGATCTTTTAAATATGTTCGAGAACTATCACTCATTGCTTATATGTCTCGAGGCTAATTACTTAAAATCTCTGAGTCTTCATTTTGTTAACTGTAATTGATATTATAATCTCCAAAGATGTGTACAGCATTCCACACAAAATCTGGAGGAAAGATACTTTTCATATATTATGGTTAAGAGAGACAGCAACAGAAAAATGTGGACTGGCCAAGGTATGGATATCTGGCAGGATTGGGAGAGAGGACTGTGGAAGAACCACCTTGTTGATGGGAAGAAGGTTAGAAGGCATATTCACCTTGTTGATTGAATTGAGCAGAATTAAGACGTCACCTTTCTTCATGGTGACTTCTCGGTTGCTGCGGGCCTGGAAGTCATATAAAGCCTTCACCCACTCTTCTCGAGCTGCTTCCTCCACTGGTGCAGCCTGCTGCTGCTAAACAAAAACAGGAAGAGGTCCATGTAAGTTACCCATTGGAAACACCTCTCTATGGGACTTAACAGTAGGGGTGGGTGCTCTCCCTGGGCCTGCCGAGAAAGGAGCCTCTGGCTGGAACCTTCTACGTGGCTGACAGTCACAGAGAGATGGCAGCCTGGCATTTTCAGAGATATTGCTCCATCCTAACACTTCTCAGGGGACAAGGAGGCCAAGCAATATGAACACAGAGTGAGCAAGTGAGTGTGTACTGTGCTGGAAAGATAGTAAATGCTCTAAGCCATCAGTTGTTAAAGCAGATATTAAACCATTATACACATCAATGTTTCAGAATATTATCTGAGAAATTTAAAGACCTATTATCTCTCTCATCATCTTCTTCATCTCCTGGGCCTCCACTAATAATCCTTCTAACCCCTTGGCCTTTCAATGATTATATCAAGGAACCGTGGATTTTCTTTTTTCAGACGTGGATATTCCACAGCACAGGAAAGGACCCAGACTTTTAAAAATGGAGAACGTGAACTGAGACCAAATGTTGTATCTCCCTTGAGCAAGCAACCTGTTCTTCAAGGTAGCCTCTGAATTTACTTTCTGCAAATATCTTATCTCTGAGAGAATGAACAAAATATACTCCCATAAGTAATGACCCACACCCTGAAGCTGAAAATAGACCTTCCCTTACAGATTCCTCTGATTTTGTCTCATTCAAGTACTGTGTTTCCTCATAACAAACATGCACATATTTCTCTGTCCTTGTTTAGGCACCCACTGTGCACAGCTCGGCAAAGGCGTAGCACAGAAGTCACCATGACTTGACATGGTGACTCTATGTCTTTTGTCGACTCCCAGTGTATGAGTTTCAAGCTTCTCAGTAGAAAGAATTCTTTGAGTATAAGAAGTGTTTTTCTTTTTCTTCGACACACAGGAAAACTGATATCATTTAGTTGATTCCAGCTTCCTCACTCTGCAGGACGCTCCTTTTTGCCTGGCAGCCTAGCCATTCTTACAGTATCACCATGTGCATTTCCCATCTCCCAAATACACTTCATTATTTTATGCTTTGGTTCATTTGCTCTCTTATCTTATTGACTAAAAAAGTACTTTTCCTTGTCTGCACAGTAAACCACCTTTAAAAAAAAAACAAACTCAGATAAAATGAATTATTAAAATTTTTCAATATTTCAGTCTCTTATTTCAGGAAAATGGAATACTCTTTTCTTTGACACCCTTTTTCCTACCCACATAACTATTATATGCACTTACTTGATTAAATTTCTGATACTCTAAAAGACTGTACTTTTCCTACTAATCGGAATTATTTTTTATTCATGCTTGCATATGGTAGACATTTAATAAGAATTGGTATAGAAAAAAAGAATAAAGGAATCAAGAAAGAATATATGAGGGAGAAATGCAAACAAAAGAAATAATAAAAAAGACTAGTGAAATTATAAAAGGAAGGAAAGAAGAAAGTGAAAAATAACACATATCTAGAAATTCTTGTGGACTAAATCTCTGTAGATGCTATGAAATGCTACAGTTTCTACACATACGAATCATAGAATTTACTATTTTCTTTGCAATTGTTTCCTGGATTATAGACAATAAAAACAGTAATCAAGAGAATTCTTTTTTCTTTGTTGTGGGTATTGTGATTCTTATCATCCCCACGTTTTTCTTACCTGGCAGGTTTCTGCCTGATCCCGTAGAGCTTGCATACTGTTTCCAAATGCATGAAGGTCCACTAGGAATGCTTCGTGCTTCTTTAGAAGAACCTGGATTTGTTGATGGGAAGATCATCAGAAGCAATACAGAAAGATCAGTAAGCATCCCTGGGGGATGGTTCAAGTATAACCTTGGGTTATTATGATTGTCTAAATTCCTGGTAAGAGACATTTCCTATTAAATATTTTTAACCCTAAATTTGCAAGTATTGAGAGAATAGGAGTTAAAAAATAAATAACAATTTCAATATATTTGCTTCAATCAACATGATGTCAAAAGTGCACAAGCATTTTAGCAACACACATCATAGCTAAAAGAGGGTGCTGCTGATACTGTTACTTTGTAGGAGTAAACATTCACATAACTTTAGATGCTCATTTTAATTACTTCTAGTGCTGAAAGTTTATGAAATACTATACTGTCTTCCCACCAGACACTAAGTAAAACAATGAAATGGATATAAAAGGTAATATGACCTTTGATTCTTTTTTCTTGTCCCAACCTGTCTGATTTTATTTTAAAAAAGTGTTTAAGGTGACTATGTCCTAAAACTATGGTTGGTTTGTGAAATCTGAAGGTTATTCTGAGAAATTTAAGATGGGACCAAGATAATCATGGACCTCTAGTCATGCCTTTTTTTTTTTAATTTAAAACTATCTCTAGGGAATCTATAGATTTCTGTGGGGTTAAAAAAATGCCATGGGTCTTTCAGACTCTCTGCCAACTCTGAGGGTATCCAGCAGGTGAAGTCCAAAGGCTATCATATCACTCTGTAAACCTCAAATAATCTAGCACAACTGGTAAATGTGCCACAGATTAATTGGTACCAGTTGGTGAATACTAGACAATGTCCATTCCCATGTCTGCCTTACCCCAGCTGCTTCTTCATCAGCCCCATAGTTCGTGTTGTCTACAATAGGTTCCTTCTCTTTAATCCATGCTTCTGCTTCATGCAGATCAGCCAGGTACTGCTGGAACTGGACATTGGCTTCAAGATCATTTTGCCGTCTGGCAGCTCGAGCTTGGAGAGACTTCATATTCTCATTCAGACTCTTGACTCTAGAAGCCACATCTTCTGCAGCAAAGTGTCCTGTGGAGTAGTTACAGAACAGGTTAATGTTACCCTCATTAACTTTCACTACAATTCAATCATTTTGGGGATCTTGGGGAGAGAAAGCAAGATGTGAGGATGAGGCTCGATGTACTCAATGTGACATTTTACCTAAATTTCTGGAAATTAGAATGCTGATGTTAATGGGGGGGTAGACATATATGTGTGGTGGTGTAAGTGGGTCTATGTGGTGGTTAATTGCGTGCTATGTTACACAGCCCTGAAAACAAAATACCTATGTGTAGGTACTGCTCAGAGACTAAATAGAAAATTCAACGTAGTTCCACTTCTGTCCATAAAGGACTTATTACTATAGGAATTGTTCTCCACCTAAACAATTAGAAAACAGTACAGAAAACTGTAAAGTGCAATGATTTTCAGACAATAGGCAGAAGGTTGTGACTCCTGAGAGAAATGAAAGAAATAAGGAATGCCTGGTGATTGCCATACTTTAGGCCTGGGGTGGTTTCTAGGCTGAGGTACTGGGAGGATGAACTCAAGCAGAACTAGCAGTCACACTGAGGGGAGGAGACAGAAGTCAGAGTTATGGGGAGACAAGACAGCTAGAGCTTGTGGAACCTAGTACTGAAGAGAAGAGTGCTACACAGAGATGGAGCTTCAGAGATATGCAGAGAGGTCCCCTAAAGTATTAAACTAATTACTCTTAAAATTTACTTCCAGTATTCCTTTATAATTTTAAAAATTATTAGGGACCACTTTAAGGTTTTCCTTATATATTTCATGAACCATTAGAGCAATGGCTGTATCACACATCATGTAGACCCCAGAAAACTTCACTGTACCCACTATGAAAGAACGATTGTGAAAAAGGAAAATGTCTTAGCATTCATTATGAAAACCATAAAACAAAATTAGAGAATCACTACCCTAGAATAAATATACACCCATGTGCATACACGGGCACACACACACAGCACAGAACTATAGCTAATAAACAAATATAGAGAGTAAATGAAATTATAATAAATACAGAGCTATTAAAAAAAAAAAGAAGCAGGAACTGGCGGACAAAGAAAAAAATAGCAAAATGTTAGATTTAAATTTATTCATATTGATAATTGCTTTAAATGTAAGTGGTCTAAATGCTCCAATTAAAAGGGAAAGATGACCAGATTGCATAAAATAAAAGCAAAGTCTAAGTATATGTTGTCTGTGAAATCTGCTTTATTTGTGTGTCATTCTTGCACAGGGGCCACGCTAATCTTTGTATTTTTTCATTTTTTGTACATTTCTTATTAGCTTTTATTTATTTATAAGAATGATAAGAAATTATTTATTTATTTATTTATTTATTTATTATCCTTACCCGAGGACACTTTTTGCATTTATCCTCAGTTAGAGCGGGAGGGAGAGAAGGGGGGCGAGAGAGAGAAAAACAGATGTGAGAGAGACTCATCGAGTGGCTGCCACCCACACAACCCCAACCAGGGCTGTGGAGAAACTGCAACCGAGGTACATGCCCTTACTGGGAACCAAACCCGGGACTCTCTGGTCTGCAGGCCAATGCTCTAACCGCTGAGCTAAACTGGCCCGGGCTAAAGGGGGAATCCTAATGTAATCTGCATTGATTATACCACACCTGGTGGATGATATTTGGTTCTGAACAACACTTAACCAGTTGGGGTTTCTGAAGATGGAAGATCAGGAAGAGGAAAGACATTGAGGCGATTAAAGCAAAAAATGTAAAGAAATGGTGCTATTTACTACAAAGACTATAAGACATTGGGAACCTCAGACGTGTCTTTACAGATTTGGAAGTTCCCACATGGGAAAAGGACTTGATTTGCTTTGTGGGATTTTGTGACTTAGATTCTGAATTCTATAACTTCTACAGAAAATTGTACTGATTATCAGAGTAATATACTTTATTTTAATAATTTTGGCTCTATAGATAAATAGAAATTCCCTTGGAAATGGAGCAAACTTTTCCCCATGAGTTTGGCATAGAGATGATTGTTCAGCTCAGTCTGAATCATACATACCTTCCTCTATCATTTTGTTTCCCCTGTCTATTATCACGCGGATGTGTGACTCATGACTGTCAATGTCAGTCTGGATGACTTGGTGTCTATTCAGAAGATTCTTTGATGAAATCAGGTCCTTGCCTACAGAGAAAAAATAATTTTAAGATCTGTGTACTTTATCTAGTGCATGGAATAAGAAGAGGCTACTGTACTCCTTTTTAACTCCCAAACCTACAAGTTCTTTCCTTTGAGGTTCTAATCATTAAATGGGTTTCCTGAAATCTATACCATTTGTCTGAACTAACTCTGCTCAGTTTTGTTGTTTCTTTTGCCTGTCTGTACTAAGAAAATTCAATTCATTATCATACAAAAGATGATAAATAAATCACTATTCTCTTTGGAAGAGAGGTAGAATGGCAAGTAACTTTCCAGCTAAAATTTCCAATAGTATGCAACTGATTTTCTTTTACAATATTGGGGTACAAATACCAGAATGTTCCATTTCTAATTTCTATGGGTGTTATTAAATCCTCTAAATCTAGGGTGTTGTTTTTTACAATAAAATTGGCACAATGTTACCTGTTTTAAAATTTTGTTTGTATGAATTAGAAATAACTTATAAAAAGTGCCTCACTCATTGCTTCACATTAATAAGCATATAATAAATACAATGCACTGTTAATTTCTTCCATCATTTTAGATCTCCAGTGCACCCTCCCTGTCTTTCATCCATGCTTCACCTCTCTTCCCTTCAAAATGTCCTTCCCTATACTTCACACAAATGTCTCTCTAGAAACTTTCTGTGGTCATCCACCTTCAAAGAGACCTTTTCTCTTCCAGGAAGTTTTCCCAGACTAACCTTCCATTGTCACCATTGTCTAGACCCTCACAGATGTTCCTAATACATGTATATTAAGTTCACATTATGTTCACATGTACTTTTTTCTCTATTTCAATGCAAGTGTCCAGGCACTGACAATGGTACACTGATAGCTTCCAGAGAAAAAGAAAATGTATACTTGATCTGCTATTTTACCCCTGTAATAGCTCATATGGTTATAAGAGGGATCCCCTGACAATATCAACAAAAATTCTTGGTACCTCAAATACTAACCATGACTGCTCAGCGAAGGACTTTGGCAATAACATAAGTTAGAGCAAGTATCCAACAACAGAGCACTCTAGCTCTTCCCAAAGGCCTTAAGTTCATGGCACTGTTCACGTCTGGTTTTAGGATATAAACTTTTAAGTTCAAACTAAAAAAAAAAAAAAAATTCTATGGAAGAATGGAAAGAGCTAAGAAGAAACTTTTCACCCCCTTCTACTGTATCCCAGATTCCTCAAACAATCTGCAAATCTTGGGGTTCTCCTTATGGCTTAACTTGCTCAGTCTGTACCAACCAAGGAAGGTGGAAGCAATCGAAGGTTCAGTCTCTTGGATCCAGGCTTCCTCATCCTCTGTGTCTCTGCAAATCTGCTGCAGACGAAGAAGGTCAATGAGCTTCTTCTTCCGGGTAGCCAGTGGCTCTTTGAGGGCTTCAAACCGGGACACCAGGGACTCCTGCCTTGCCCGTATGTCTCCAGCATCGGGATGGCCCATTTCTTCAAAATATGCCGCCAGGTCTGTGATGGTGTCTACCTGCTCCTGTGGAAGAAATTGAATGGGTTCAGGAAATTCCGTCATTTACTGGAAAGGGATGAGAGTTTGGTGTGGGGAGGCCATGGAGAGAATCAGTTCCAATATGTACTGTGTTAGAACTTCTAATCAAATCAGTGAAATGGAGTGGAAGGGGTTGCTACATTGAGGACCATTTCATTAATCTAAAAGAGTTATTTATGGGAAAGTAGCTTTCAAACACATTTCAAAAAGGACAAAATATTTAGAGTATGCCAAGGAAATCAGAGACACTAGACCTACAGAACCTTGACTGTTTGGGACTGTTGATAAGTTGTGGTCCTAAAGAAAATGGTGCAGGGTGTTTTTCAGTCTCAGTTCCCCTTTCATCCTCTTTCTCTCCCTTTAAAATTAACTATACTTGTAAATAACAGATACTTCTGAGGCTTAAGTTTGTTGCATGGCAGGAACAAAGCCTACAAGATGAAATGCGATGTCACAAAACGAATGGAACCTCAGAAAGAGAAATGCAAAGGCATTGCCTTGGTCAGTACCCAATTGTGAGAAATGGAATAAATCACGGCCCCTTTTGCGCCACTATCTGAGAAAGCAGAAATACAGAAATTGGATTTCAAAAGATCTCCCTGGAAATAAAATTTTAGATGTATTTTTATATGCTAAAATAGATAGCAAAGCTGTGTTCCTTCTTATTAGTGAGGTTTACTCTAAATGGCCTGGCAGAAGCAAGTATATGGTATATTTGTTTGCTTCTTTTGTCTTTTTGCTAGGGTAGAGGAAAGTGGTAAAAAAAAAAAAAAAATGTTCTTCTGGTGATGGATGGAGACTTGACTTGAGGTGGTGAACACAAAATACAGTTTACAGATAATGTGTTGTGGAATTGTACACCTAAAACATGTATGATTTAGTTAATCAATGTCACCCCAATGAATTCAATAAAAAATTTAAATTTAAAAAAGTACATAAAACGTTCTTCAAGAGGTAAATGAACAGTAAGCATTGGTTTTATTTATTATATTTTGATATCCAATTCTCAATCTATAAAGGCTTTGATCTATCTCTTCTCAATTTGGAGCAAATCATTAACCATCAATAGCTTCTTAAAACTCATACTCATATATCCATAAAATATTAAAGTTTCCATAAAGAATTAAAATTAATTTCTCTCACTAGCCAACTCATCTCACTTTAACTTTGGAAAACATTATACTGTAATAGAGTAATTTTGAAACATTATGACTATCATCATCATTATGAATCCACTACATTATTTGAAAACCTTTAATGTCATGGAAGATGCCCAGACTAAGAAGACTTGGCTTCTATTCTTGGCTCCCAGTTAATTGTCATTTGATCTTGGAAAAGCTCTTTTTTCCCCCCAGGGCTTTACCAATGCTTTTATTTATTTAATTTTTTTTAATAAACTTATCTTTTTTTTTTTTTTTTATACTCACTCGAGGACATTTTTTTTCCCATTTTTTGTTCAGATAGAGTGGGAAGGAGAGAGAGTAAGAGAGAGAGAGAGAGAGAGAGAGAAGCATCGATGCAAAAGGGACACATCGAGTGGCTGCCACCCACATGACCAACCAGGGCCAGGAACAAACTGCAACCGAGGTACATGCCCTTAGTGGGAACCGAACCTGCGTCTCTCTGGACCACAGCCTGACACTCTAACCGCTGAGCCAAACCGGCCAGAGCTAAACTTATCTTTATTGTTTAATGTATTACACATGTGCCTCCTTTTTTCCCTCTTGACCCTCTCCTCCCCACTCCTACCACCCTCCTGCCTTCCCCACACTATTGTCTATGTCTATTGGTTTTGCAAATATGTATGTAAGTTCTTTGGTTTCTGTCTTCCTAACCCACCTCCCCCCTTCCCTTCGAGGTTCGTAGTCTAACAACCAATTTGTACTTCTTAATCTCTTCATCTTTTTCACCCCTCTCCCCAAACCCCTGGCAACCAACAAAAGTTCTCTGTGTCTATGAGTTTGTTTCTGTTTGGCTTGCTCATTTTGTTTGTAGATTCAATTGCTGATAGATATGTATTTATTGCCATTTCGTTGTTCATGTTTTTTTATCTTCTTCTTCTTCAGAAGATCCATCAACATTTCATATACTACTGGTTTGGTGGTGATGAACTCTTTTAGCTTTTTCTTCTCTGGGAAACTCTTTACATATATGGCCATTGGTTCTAAATGATAGCTTTGCAGGATACAGTAATCTTGGTTGTAGATCCTTGCTTTTCAGCACTTTAAATATTTCTTGCCACTCCCTTCTGGCCTACAAAGTTTCTTTTGAGAAATCAGTTAATAGTCTTATGGGCACTCTTTTGTAGGTAACTAACTGCTTTTCTTGTGCTGCTTTTAAGATTCTCTCTTTGTCTTTAACCTTCTGCATTTTGATGATAATGTGTCTTGGTGTGGACTTCTTTGGGTTCATCTTGTTTGGGACTCTCTGTGCCTCCTGGACTTGTACCATATATTTGTTTCCTTCACCAAGTAAGAGAATTTTTCTGTCATTATTTTTTTCAAATAGGTTTTTAATTTCTTGCTCTCTCCCTTCTTCAGGCACTTCCATAATGCAAATGTTGGTACACTTGAATCTGGCCCACAGGCTCCTTATAATATTCTCATGTTTTTGGATTTTTTTCTTTTTGCCATTTTGATTGGGTGTTTTTTGCTTCCTTATATTCTAAATTGATGGTTTGCTTCTTGGCTTCACCTACTCTACTGTTGATTCCCTATAAATTAGTCTTTATTTCAGTTAGTGCATTCTTCATTTCTAACTGCTCCTTTATTATGCTCTTGAGGTCCTTACTAAGTTTCTTGATGTTCTCACAAAGTTCTGTGAAATTCTCACTGAGTTCATTGAGCATCCTTAGAAGCAGTGTTTTGAACTCTACATCTGTTAGATTGCTTATCTCCATTTCAGTTCTTTTCCTAGAGTTTTGTTCTTTTCTTTCATTTAGGACATGTTTCTTTGTCTCCTCAATTTGGCCTCTTCCCTGTGTTTGTTTCTATGTATTAGGTAGAGTTTCTATGTCTCCTGGGCTTCCTAGGTGTCCTGTAGGGTCATGTGGCACATCCTCCCTGGTCATCCAGCTGGGCCCTCGAGGTACACCCCTTGTGTGGACTTCATACCTTCTGTTGTAAGTGACTCTTGATTGTTGTTGGCACATCAATGGAAGGGATTTACTCATAGGCTGATCAGTTGCAAGAACTAGCTGTGCCCACTAACCCCAACCTCTGACTACTTGGAGGATCAGCTGTGTGGGGCCCACTGAGTCCATTCAGCAGGGCTCTAGTACCCACTGAGTCCATTCCTTGAGTGTGTCACTTGTGGAGGTTGTTGGGTGGTGGTGCTTCGACTTGGTTTGAAGCTGTCCACTGGGTGTGCTGGCTCTAGGGCAAGATCAGCTACTGCGTGTGTTCTACCCAGGGCCACCAGGTATAAGCTATAAAGTGATCTGCAGATGACTGCTTCTTGTGCGGGGCTTGGACATGCCCAGGTAAAGCCAAGCTGTGAACCAAGTTTGGTTGCTTCTAGTGTCAGGCCTGGGGCTACTTATTGAGAGGTATGGAGCTCACTGTAGCCAGATGCTGCTTGTTTGAGAGAATTTAGGAAAATCTGAAGCAGGAGCCCAAACAGGCCAATTCTATGGTGAAGCCACTGGAAACAGCTTGGTTAGGCCCAAAAGTTGAGTGGGGCAGAGCCTCAGGGAATCACCAGGGTGGGGCAAACAGTGTGAGCCAGGTTGCTGGAGTCCCAGATATTGTGCCCATCCTCCGGCCTTGTCGGAGGAGGGCTCACCAAAGGAACAACAGCCTCCACCTGCACGTTTGCCTGGAAGAAAGTTACCTCTCCAGTTCTAGCCCTGATGCCAAACAACTCAATTCTTCCCAGTATACCTCTGGTGCTTTTCAAGCTGCCTCTCCAATGCTGGAGCCTGGAGGGAGTGGGTCTGAGTAAGTCTGTGCACCCTTTAAGAGGAACTGTCTGGGGCTCCAGCAGCTTCAGCCTCCCTCAGCCTGAGTTCCTGCTGGTTTTTACAGCCAGAAGTTATGAGGATTTCTCTTCCTGGCACTGGAACCCTGAGCTGGGGGGCCTGGTGTGGGGCGGGGACCCCTTGCTCCTCAGGGAGGACCTTCACAGTTGAGACAGCCCTCCTGATTTTTATCTGCCACACGTGGCTGTGGAACCAGCCTGTTCGTGCCTGCGCCCCTCTTACCGGTCTCCTTGTGGCTTCTTCTTTAATTTCATAGTTGTAGGACTTCCATTCAGTTGAATTTCAAGCATTTCTGAAGGATGTTTGTACTGTCGTTTAGTTGTAATTTTTCAGAAAAGCTCTTTTACCTGTTTTAATAGTAGTGTCCTCATCTATGTAATGACTTTGGGTTACAGGGCATTGCACATCCTTTCTAACTTTAATATCCATATTTGAAATTTCCTTTACAAGCATATATCTTAGCCTCTATTCCAACCAGGCAAACCAATTCCTGGTGATTGGATGCCTTAACTTTCCCCCAAAGGATCACATATTTATTATGTATTTAGACATACTATTCCTCCTCTTTGTATGTTTTGTTTACCTTTCACCAAATCTTGTCTTTCCCCTCCTCTGAAAATCTTTTCCAAACTCTGTTCCTCCATGTTAGATTTCAAAGTCATCTTCATACAGTTTTTGTTTTTCTACCCCTAGCCTTTGATTTCAAGCTCTATCAAGCCATTCTTAGAGCTATGTAAATGACTGTTGTTCTGTTTGCTCTGACTTCTGTAGATGATTCTTTCTTTCTCAGTGCATCCAAAGTGACCAAAAAGCAGATATCATAAATGTGCATTTTAACAAGACAGATTAGTGGGACCTTCTAGGAAACAGCAGAATCATTTTTAGGCACAAGCTAAGATTCCTGGAGTTGAGAAATTGAGTCAACTGGAATTGGATTTCCACGAAGGTTTCCAGAAATTCATATACAGTAACTATACTCTAGAAACGTACCAGATAAATGTATTTTAAATAACAGTCTGGCAAGATGCCAGGGGCGGGGTAACATGAACCTAAGAGCCTAGTTAGCTGTTTCGTAGTCCTGGCCCCAGTGTTAATGTTCTCTGTGTAGTCACTTTACTTGTTAATGTTCTCTGTGTAGTCACTTTACTTGTACAGGTTTCAATTTTCTAAACTAAAACAAGCAAACAAACAAAAAAACTCCAAACAAACAAACAAACAACAAAAAACTGGCAGGATTAAAGATATGTTCAAACTTTAAACTGCAGAATACTCAAACAAGAAGAGGCAAAGTTATCCAAACCCTTATTTTGTCGGTGAGGCTATAGAGGTGTGAAAAGTTGAAAAGACACACCAAAGATTACATAACTAGTAATTGACAGGCTATATATAAAACCCATGTTTCTGGATTACGTGTGCAGTACTATATGAAGAAAAGTCAATGAAGTCTTGTATAAGCCATGGGTTCTGACAGGAGACACCAGGCAACCAGGAAAATGGCTGTGTAAGAGAATATTGGGAAGAGGTCGTTTACCGCCTAACATTTTTGAATTTTTACCGTTAGTTTTGTGATCTCTTTCTCTCAACAATAATTACTTAGTATGAGTTTGGTCAGAGGATATACAGGTGGTCTGGCCTACAGCTGGTCAAAGAGCTAGCAACAAACCTGACGAGCAGCCACACGAGACTCCAAGAAGTTGTGTTTCCTGAGTAGATTCTGTACATCAGCCAGGCCTTCTCCATAATCCTCAGACTTAGCCTGATATTCTACCTCTTCTAGCAAGCGCTTCAGGTCTTCTGCATTATTTTCAAATAGCAGCTGCTGGTTAGCTTCATACAACTGAGACCCTGGGAAAGGACATCAATTATAAGACAGGTATCATAACTGCTTCTCATTACAAAATAATATACCTTCCATCAACTTAAGGAGAAATATAATAATTTGATAATCCAATGGAAAAAATAACTATCATATATCATTATACAAGAAATCACCTTAAAGTTTTAAAACTTGATGGTCTTTGTTTTTTAATAAAGTAGTGTTCTCAAAACAAAGAAAAACAATAAGTTAATCCCCAGTGAGATACAGTGCTGTCGTGTTAAATTTTAAACAGTGTGGGTGTTTTCATGTCATCTCTTGCTCTCTACTGAGACCTCTTTTTCAGGAGAACTTTACAAGAGAAGTATAAAATTTTGAAGTGTCTTTTTTATGTCTTTTTCAGAATTTGTTAGCTCCCTCTTAGTGCCTGTCCTTTATTACAAACCATGCCCCACAATTTTCTCTTCCAAAAAATGTCTAGATTATGCACACTGTTCCCAGATTATTTTTTAATTCTATGACCTTATAGCAATTATTTACATTCTTTCTGTGCAGCAATTACTGTATCTCCTAATGGTGGGGAGTAGTAACAATTTCTATTGTTACAGTCAAGTTGGATTTTCCCTCGCTTTTCAGGATGACATCAAACAAATCAGTATCTATATCTCTTCTATAACTAGGGCAGAGTCATGTCTATGGAGGATGTTTAGAACAAGGATAATAGTAGCAAGAGAACCTCATTATTTGTGTTAATCATGATAATTCATTAATTGTTCACAGCAAGAGGTGAGGTTAAATGTTAGTAGAAACATTCAAGTAGATACGTGGGAATTTTTAAGAGTTTACAGCAAAGCCTAAACATGTCAAGATAGGCCAAAAAAAAAAAAAGCAAACAGTTATCAAGCTCTATTTCTAAAACTAAAATATTGTGGGAACATCACATATTTAATTTGTCTGGATCATAATATCCTGTCTATGAAACCAAAATATATAACACTAAATTTAAAGACATTATTCTGTATTTAAATACAGAATTCATGGTTGCTGAATATTTATTCAAAAATAATTTAAAAAAGAAAGAGAGAAGAAAACAAAAATAGTTTCAGTAAAACACTCTGTGCATGAAGAAAACATAAATTTTTGTAAATATGCAGTGTGATAAATTCAGGTTGGAATTGAAAACTTCTTGGCCAATCAAGAAAGAAATAGGGAAACGAATAAATAGGCATCATTTCTCATCGAGGTCACCAGGTAAATTCACGGTGGTAAAGATGGAAGCGGTCGGTGTCAGAATTTAGGAATTGGCCTTCCAATGAAAGCTCTGTTTCTAACCTTTCTGTCTTGTAGCATCCAGCAGCTTCTCCCAGAGGCTGGCGACCTCACCCACTCGTGCGGCCACGCTGTCGGCGGCATAGTGACCGCTCTCAATCATTGCCTGGCCTGTTTCCTTTAGTCTATTGAGTCGGATCTCTTCAGCTGCTAACTCTGCTTCGAAAGCTTGCTGCTTTTGAACCTGGCTTTTCAAGTTCTGCGTATCCTGAGGCAAGGTGAGAAAATAAGAGGAGATCATTACTTGAAGAATGAGGGGCTGTTGTGGTTCCTCCCTGGCCCTGGTCGATGTTTCTCTTTCTCTCCCCCTTTCTCTCTCCCTCTCTCTACCTCCCACTCTATTGGAAGATAAATAGAAAAATATCCTCAGGTCAGGAACACATATTGAGGACAGGGTTACTTCTCACTATGTACTAAGGAGGAGAGAGAAGGCAGAATTGTCCTCGTCCATGTAGTCAGAGAATGCTTAGGAAACTCATGTGACTAATTCTTCCTTCTGTACATGTAACAGACATGGCTCATCAAGCCCTGCAATTATTTCTACTGAGCTCGGATATGGCCTAAAGAAAATTTTGAATAGTATACTTTACACAGGAAATAACAGAGCTGTCATGAAGAATGACAAGTATTTTCCATTTTTGTCCTAGTAGATCTACCATCCATCCTTTTTCCCCATATGAAAAAGATATGTCTATGCTAAATGCACTGCAACCATAATTCCTCTAGAGAACACAAGCAGATGGTGCTGAGTTTTATAGAATAAAAGGTGCAGATAGAGTAGAAGTTCTAATAGTTCTATAAAGATATAGGAACAAAAGGATCTGAGGTATACATTCAAGACTAATTGCTAATAACAGAAATTTCCCAAATTAAAACAAGAGAGAAAATTCAAGCCCAGGTTCACCTTTTCCAAAATTTGTGCCTCTAAGACCCCATTATGTTAAACTGCTTTCTAAATAATTGCATAACTTTGGGCAACTGACTTCACAATTTATATCTTTGGTTTTCTCATCTACAAAATTAGGAGTTGTTCCTTTTAAGCTACAAAACTCTGTAAGTCTATATTATACCAAATTCAGGTTACTTTTGAGTTCCAAGTAGCTTCAAGTACATTTGAGTGTACATTCGGATTAAACACAATGCTTATCTACTATAAGGGTACAGAGGGGAGCAGAAGAGGTGATAAAGAGACAAAAAAGAGCTAAATACGGATTTAGACCCTTCCAGACACCATTCTATTAAGGACCATTGGAAACTGTGCCAGGATAAAAGAGGTAATGGGCAGCAGGGAATAGGAAAACCAGAAACTAAATCCTTGGTTCCTAACTAGATATATAGACTTAGGAAAATCAGTGGCCTTCTTCTGAGACTCTGTCTCCTCATCTGTAAAATGAGGCTAACTAACTGAACTCTATGTTCCTTTCAGCTTTAAGACTGTAATTCCATGCAACTAAGTCCTGATGAATATGTCCAGGGCTGGAAAACCCTGCTTACCTTATAATCTTCGTCATCTGCCAACTTTTTCTTCTTGTTGATCCAGTTCTTTAGATAATCTGAGTCCTGATACAGGTTCTGCAGACGCGACGCATTCTGCAGCAATCCGCGCCGAGTGGCACCCTTTTCACATAGGGCATCCCACCGAGTCAACAACTGCAAAACCATGAGCAAACTCATTGTCAGCTCAACCATATGTGGACACATGAGGCTCATGCTCACATTGGTCACCATGCCCCCAATACTTTCCCTGACCCTTCACAGACAGGTACATATGAGCCCTTGAACCTACCCCATCCCGGATAGAAGCGATTTTCTCTGAATCATAATGATCATTGTCAATCAATTTGGTTGCAGTCTTGTCTAATGCCTGTAAAACAAAACAAAATGAAACAGGGTAGTTTTAACTCAGTGACTACCGCTGAGTATGTTGCCACAGTTTGGGTAGCCATTTAGAGAAGGAATCATGGTAACATGGGAAGAGGTCCTACCTCGAATTTATGTTATAAATTGTATTTCAAAATGTAGACCTTAGGCAATATAGTTATCTTCTCCATGCCACAAAATATTTTTTTAAGTCTGTGTTACAGTAAATGAATTCTAAAATCACAGGGTGAATATTTGATCTATTCTTAAATCTTCAAGAGCTAGCACTATTTATATACCCATGTCCAACAGCCAGTCTATCATCTATCTATAATCTATCTATCTATCTATCTATCTATCTATCTATCTATCTATCTATCATCTATCTATCATCTATCTATCTGTCTATTTATCATCATCATCATATCATGTATTTATGTGTTATATCTAGCATATATATTTACATCTACATCTATATCTATATCTACATGAAGAAAAGAGTCAAATTGTAGAGGTAATTTTTTTCAAATTTTCAATTGCAGTTGACATTCAATATGATTTTATATTAGTTTCAGGTGTACAGCATGGTGGTTAGACAATTATGCGATTTACAAAGATAATTCTGGTACCACATCTTGATAGTTATAGTACACACCTGGCATTATACAAACTTTCACAATAGGGCTCTCTATATAACACTATGCTGTACTTTACACCCCATGACTAAAATGTAACTACCAATTTGTACATCTTAATTTATTCAACTCTCTCACTCAGTTCCCCATTTCTCCTCCTATCTAGCAACCATCAAGCTATTCTGTGTATCTATGAGACTGTATCAATTTTGTTTGTTAATTTTGTTCTTTAAATTCCACATATAAGTAAAATCATATGGAATTTATCTTTTTCTTACTCACTTATTTCACTTAGCATAATATACTTTAGGTCCATTCATGCTGTTACAAATGGTAAGATTTCATTATTTTTTATAGCTGAGTAATATTCCACTGTATATATGTACCACCACTTATTTGATGGGCACTTGGGTGGCTTCCATAGTTGACTATTGTAAAAAATGCTGCAAATAACATAGGGGTATATATATTCTTTTGAATTAGTGCTTCGGGTTTCTTCAGATACATACCCAGAAGTGGAACCATTGGGTCATACAATTATTCTATTATAAATATTTTGAAGAACCTCCATGCTGTTTTCCACAGGGGTTGCACCAATCTGCATTCTCACCAACAGTACAAGAAGGTTTCCTTTTCTCCATATTCTCTCCAACACTTGCTGTTTGTTGATTAATCAATGATAACCATTCTGAAAAGTGTGAGGTGATATATCTTTTATGTTTTAATTTGCATTTCTTTGATGATTAGTGATGTTCAACATATTTTTATATGTCTATTGGCCATCTGTGTGTTCTACTTGGAAAAGTGTCTTCAGGTCCTCTGCCATTTTTAATTGGATTTTTTATGTTGAGTTGCATAACTTAACTTTTGGATATTAACCCCAATTGAATGTATCATTGGAGAATGTCTTCTTACACTTAGTAGGTTTTCTTTTATGTTATTGTAGATGGTTTCCTTTACTGTGAAAAAGTTTTTAGTTTTATGTAGTCCCATTTGCCCAAGTAGATATATCAGAAAAAATACTGCTAAGAGAAATGTCAGAGATTTTACTGCCTATGTTGTATTCTAAAAGTTTTATGGTTTTGAGTCCTACATTTAAGTCTTCAATCCATTTAGTTTATTCTTGTATATAGTGTAAGAGGTTGGTCTAGATTAATTTTTTTTGCATGTATCTGTCCAATTTTCCCAATATTTATTGAATAGACAGTTTTACCCAATTGTATGGTTTTGCCTCTATTGTCAAATATAATTGACCATATAAGTGTGGGTTCATTTCTGGCCTCTCTATTCTGTTCCATTGATCTATGTGTCTGTTTTTATGCTGGTATTATGCTGTTTTTAATGCTATAGTCTTGAAGTACAGTTGGATATCAGAGAGTGTAATACCTCCAACTTTAGTTATTTTTCTCAAGATTGCTGTGGTTATTCACGATCATTTGCGAGTTCATATAAATTGGAATTATTTGTTCTAGTTCTGTAAAAAACTCCATTTGTATTTTGATAGGAATTTCATTAAAGCTATAGATTGCTTTGGGTAATATGGTCATTTTAATGATGTTAAATGTCCTTTTCTTTAAGCATGTTATATGTTTTCTTTTGTTTGTATCTTCTTCAATTTTTTTCAGTTTCTCATAGTTTTCTAAGTGCATGTCTTTTACCTCTTTGGTTATATTTATACATAGGCATTTAAATTTTTTGAGGCAATTGTAAAGGGGATTGTTTTCTTAATATCCCTTTATGATAGTTCATTATTGGTATAAAAATGCAAATAATTTCTGAATATTTATTTTGTATATTACTACTTTACTGAATTTATTGATCAGTTCTAGTAGTTTTAGGATGGAATCTTTAGGGTTCTCTAAATAAGTATCATGCCAGCTGGAAATAATGATTGTTTTATTTCTTCCTTTCCAATTTGGATGCTTTTTATTTCTTCTTTTTTTTTTTTTCCGTTTTCTTTTTGTTCAGACAGAGTGGGAGGGAGAGAGAGGAAGAGAGTGAGAGAAACATCGACGTGAAAGGGACACATCGAGTGGCTGCCACCCTCACGACCAACCAGGGCCGGGGACAAACTGCAACCAAGGTACGTGCCCTTAGCAGGAATCGAACCCGGGTCTCTCTGGACCGCAGGTCAACACTCTAACCGCTGAGCCAAACCGGCCAGGGCTATTTCTTCTTCTTGTCGGATTACTGTGGCTAGGAATTCCAGTTTGTTAAATAAGAGTAGTAAAAGTGAACATCTGGAAACATTTTTAGATTTCCCCCCAATGAATATGGTGTTAGCTGTGGGTTTATCAAAATGGCTTTTATAACATTGAATTCCCACTTTGCTGAGTTTTTATCATAAATGGTGCTAGATTTTGTAACTTTTTTTCTGCAACCATTTATATGATCATGCACTTTTTATCCTTCATTTTGTTTATGTGGTGTATTATCTTAATTGATTTGAAGATATTGCACTGATCCTGTAACCAGGAATTAATCCTACTTGATCATGGTGTATGATCTTTTTAATGTATTACTGAATTTAGTTAGCTAATATTTTGTTGAGGATTTTTGTGTCTGTGTTCATCAGGAATACTGGTCTATAATTTAATTTTTTGTGTGTCTTTGTCTTGTTTTGGAATCAGTGTAATTTTGGTCTCATAAAATAAGCTTGGGAGTCTTTTTTGCTCTTGAATTTTAAAACATTTTTAGAAGGATAGGTGTTAGTTCTTTTTTAAATGTTTAGTAAAATTTAACTATCAAACCATCTAGTTCAGGAAGTTTTGTCTGGAGATTTTTTATTACTGCTTTGATTTTGTTGATTGTAACTTATCTCTGCAGATTTTCTGTTACCTCTTGATTTAGTCTTCAAAGATTGCATGCTTCTAAAAATTATCTATTTCTTTCAGATTGTACAATTTGTTGGCATACACTTGTTCATAGCACTTTCTTATAATCTTTTCCATTTCTGTGCTGTCATTTGTCACTTCTTTTCTTTCATTTTCAAGTTCTGTTTGAGTAGTCTCTACTTTTTTCTTGATGAGTTGGTTAAAGGTTTCTCAATCCTGTTTATCTTTTAAAGAACCAACTTTTGTGGTTTCATTGATCTTTTGTTCTGTTTTTATTTTAGACTCTTTTTGTTTATTCTACTCTAATCATTAATATTTCCTCTTTCTACTCACTTTGGGCATTTTTTGTTATTTTTCTACTTCCTTTAGAGGTAAGATTTGATGGTTTATTTTGGATTTTTTTCAGTGTTTTGAGCTACGTCTCTATTGCTATGAGTTGCCTTCTTGGAATTGCTTTCTCTGTGTCCCAGTATTTTGGGCTTTGTATTTTCATTGTCATTTGTCTAAAGGTGTATTTGTTTTCTTCCTTGAAGTCATTGTTAACTCATTTACTGTTTAGTAACATGTTATTTAGCCTCCGTGTATTTGTGTATTTTTCAGGATTTTTAAAAATAATTGATATCTAATTTTATACCATTGAGGTCAGAGAAGACTCTTGATATGATTTCAGTCTTCTTAAAATTATTGGGACTTGTTTTGTGGCCTAACATATGGTCTATCCTGATGCATGTTCCATGTAAACATAAAAATGATATATTCTGCTGCTGAGGAAGAAATGCTTTAAAATGTAAATTAAATTCATGTGCTTAGGGAGATATGCTTTAAAATATCAATTAAATTCATGTGTCATTTAAGGCTGTTGTTTACTTGTTGATTTTCTATTTGGAATATCTACCCATTGATGACAATGGATTGTTATCCCTTACTATGACTATATCACTGTCAACCTCTCCATTTATGTCGATCAAGATTTGCTTTATATATTTAGATGCTCTTATGTTGGATGTGTAAATGCTTATAAGGATTATATCCTCTTGCTGGATTTATGTCTTCATCATTATGTAATGTCCTTCTTTGTCTTTTTATATTCTTTGTTTGAAAGTCTACTTTTTTTTTTTTTTTTTTTACTTTTTTTATGAATTTTTATTTATTTTTTTGTTACAGATATTTTACCTTTTTACCCCATTGGCACCCCCCACCCCCCCCCTCCACCCTGTCCCCGGCTTAGTTGTCCATGTCCATTGGTCATGCATACATGCATATAAGTTCTGTGGTTTATCTCTTCCCACCCCCCCACCCCCCATCCCCTCTTCTGAGGGATGTCAGTCTGTGCCCTACTTCCATGTGTCTGGGTCTACTGTATTCCTCAGACTGTTATGTTCATTATATTCCGTATATAAGTGAGATCATGTGATATTTGTCTTTTTCTGCTTGGCTTCTTTCACTTAGGATGATACTTTCCAGGTCCCTCCATGTCGTCTCAAAGGATAAGAGATCTTTCTTTCTTACCGCTGCATAGTACTCCATTGTGTATA